AACAACAGCCGCATCAAGCTGGGCCTCAAGAGCCTGGTGAGCAAGGGCACCCTGGTGCAGACCAAGGGCACCGGCGCATCGGGTTCTTTCAAGCTCAACAAGAAGGCGGCCTCCGGGGAAGCCAAGCCCAAGGCTAAAAAGGCGGGTGCAGCCAAGGCTAAGAAGCCCTCCGGAGCTGCAAAAAAGCCCAAGAAGGCTACAGGCACGGCTACCCCCAAGAAGACCTCCAAGAAGACCCCAAAGAAGGCGAAGAAGCCGGCCGCAGCTGCAGGAGCCAAAAAAGCCAAGAGCCCCAAGAAGGCGAAAGCGGCCAAGCCGAAGAAGGCGCCCAAGAGCCCGGCCAAGGCGAAGGCGGTGAAGCCCAAGGCGGCTAAACCAAAGACCGCCAAGCCCAAGGCTGCCAAGCCAAAGAAGGCGGCAGCCAAGAAGAAATAGGAAGTTTCTTCGGGCAACTGCTGAGAACCTCGATACAACCCAAAGGCTCTTTTCAGAGCCACCCACAGACCTCAGTAAAAGAGCTGTTGCACACTCCTGGGGGCGTGGTCAGGGTGGGCCGCCGCCGAGAAGGCGGGGCTCCAGGGAGAAGGGCCGAGAGGGAGGTGGGTTTCTCGTGAGGCTCCTGCTCTATAAGTAGGTGGAGGCTTTAGGGTTTGGGGGGCCTGTAGACATAGAGCTTAGAGGGTCTCGGTGCCTTCGAAGGCACCGTGGGGCCGGCTGATGGCTGGAGGAGGTGCGGGGAGCCCGCAGTTGAGCACAATGCTGAGGTGGCCAGGGTTCAGCCAGCGTGAGGGCTGCGGGTGTCCTTGCCTCTAACTCGCTGTCGTCTTTCCGGACTCCTGGGCGACTTAGAAAGTTGACCTGCACACAAGCCGAACGTGAGTGTGACCAAGAAAAGTTCGCTGTGCTGAGAAATATGAACGATTGTGCTGGAAGAGACCTATTTATAGTAGCTTTGGGTATCCAGTTTGGGCTTTCTGATTGGGTGAAAGTGAAGTAACGCAATAACCAATGGAACGGAAGAATTTCAGTGTCGTTAACATTCGCATTTGTGACGACACACTAGAATTAATCCAATCGTAGAGGAAAACTTATTAACCTCATTTGAATACCGCATCTATAAATGCATGTAACCTAGTGGGGGGTGATTGTTTTCCCAGGTATTTGCATCAGCCTTCTGGTTTTTGCCTTTTGAACGCTGTAATGCCTGAGCCCACGAAGTCCGCTCCTGCCCCGAAGAAGGGCTCCAAGAAGGCGGTGACCAAGGCGCAGAAGAAGGACGGCAAGAAGCGCAAGCGCAGCCGCAAGGAGAGCTACTCGGTCTACGTGTACAAGGTGCTCAAGCAGGTGCACCCCGACACTGGCATCTCGTCCAAGGCCATGGGCATCATGAACTCGTTTGTGAACGACATCTTCGAGCGCATCGCGGGCGAGGCCTCGCGCCTGGCGCACTACAACAAGCGCTCGACCATCACGTCCCGGGAGATCCAGACGGCGGTGCGCCTGCTGCTGCCCGGGGAGCTGGCCAAGCACGCCGTGTCGGAGGGCACCAAGGCGGTCACCAAGTACACCAGCTCCAAGTGAACTTGCCAAGTAAGCGTTTTTACACCTAATCCCAAAGGCTCTTTTAAGAGCCACGCATGATTTCCACAAATGAGTTGTAATTCTTAAAGTCCAAACAATTATTGCATTTTTCGTACTAGATTGAAAGCTAGTTAACTGATCTTTAATGCTACATCAGTGTTGTATAGGAAATGCGAGGAGTAACAGTGGGTACTAGAAATAAAGTACTCTGTGCACGTACAAGTTCAGTATAGTAAACAATCACATAGCTGTGCACTAATAAGAACGGAAAGTCACTGTGAATGTGCAGCTCTCCGTTTCGCTGCAAAGATCTAATTTGACCATGAGGTGATCCATGACTCGGTGATGACTGCTTGCTGCCTGGACCACAGAAGAGTATGCTCTGAGGACCTCCTTCTGCTCAGAGCATACCTCCTCTCCATTTTTCTTGAAAATCTTTCCATCTAGATAACCTGACTCTGAAAAAGGCCTGATTACTTGAGTAATCAAGTCATCTTAACAATACAGAGGGTTCCGGGGAGTGCTGGAGCAAGAAGGGGATCTTCTCTCTAAAAGGTGCACAGGGAGATCAAAGGAGGAAGTCACTGAAACTTTGAAGTTGTCAGTACTATACCTTCACAGAAAAATCACTTAGTTTGTCTTTTGACAGCAGTTAAAAGTTCTCTGGGTGACAGGGGAATCCCCACAGTCAACCTGATAAGGTGCCTTACTGCTGATGGGCAAAAGTAATTTTCAGTATGGTTCACACTTTCCTGGATGTCCCCAAGTGTCAAGGAGAGTGGAGATGCAAGGGCACAGGAAGTATGAGATGGGTGAGGTGAGCTTGGAGTCAAGAGATGCCTTCTGGGATAGAGAATTTAGGAGGATGGTATTGGCAGAGGGAAGTATGAATCTAGAAACTAATGTCCTCACACCCTCATAAATAAATATGTATTTATCAATTCTTGGGATAGATTTTGTATTATATGGCAAGCTTAGTACTTGGATGAATAATGAGAATCCTAAAACAATATATATTTTTTAAAAAGCAATGAAAATTAGCTATGAAAGTAACAAACTCAGACTCAGGGATATAGCCCTTGTGAAACCCTGAGTAAGGCTTTCACCCAAACCTGGGCTTTCCTTTTTTTTTTTTTCTTTCGGTACCAGGGATCCAATTCAGGGGCACTCAACCGCTGAGTCACATCCCCAGCCCTATTTTGTATTTTATTTAGAAACCGGGTCTCACTGAGTTGCTTGGCACCTTACCATTGCAGAGGCTGGCTTTGAACTGACAATTCTGCCTCAGCCTTCTGAGCTGCTGGGATTACAGGCTTGACCCACTGCACCCAGCTGGGCTTTGCTTTTTAAGATGATGTATGGAGCTTAATCATGGTGTGGAGTCTGGTAAGAAATCATCACCTAGGAAACACCAAACACCAAACAAAAGCCTAGCTCCTCTAATAACAATAACAAGAGGAGTTAATACCACAGCCTAGAGACATTTATTATCAGTAAAGAAAATGATCAACCATCAGGTGTCCTTGAGAGGGTCTTTGCTCCATTTCCCAGGTTTGGGTTTTTTTATTTTTTCAGGCAGTGACATTCTTCAGGGCTGTGAAGGACAGAGCTTAGCCTGTGATCAGAAAAATGTTAGTCTTATTTCCCAGGCTGTTAGAGCAAGGGAAGAAGAAAAGCAGGGGAAAAGTCAGTTTTAAAATAGGCCACCTGGACTGTTTATACTGAAAGCATCAAGTGGACCCCATTATGCTCAGGTGGGAAAGGGAATGGAAACGTTCACTGTCAGATGTACATAAGCCCACTATAGACCACTGCAAGGTGGAAAGTCACCTCCAGACTCCATGCTCAGCAGAATCCATCCTCCCACCAAGCCAGCATGCCCACCCACCAGGTATTCAAAGGTGCTGGACTGAGAATTTAAACTGGGGACAGAATAGCTAGGCTGGTTTTATGCTCCTGAGCATGTGGTAGAGAAAATACAAATCATCTTTGGAGGAACAAACTTAATTTTATTCCTCAACAAATTCCCACGGGGGGGGGGCGCGGGAGGGAGGGAGAGTAAAAGGTGAAATAAGCAGAAACTTTCATGTAGTAAAACAAAAAAAGCTTTAATGTCTTTTAAAAAAAATTCAAACATGTAAGGAATTAAAAAAAAATACAAAGATAACAGAATTGAAAAAAGAACCAAATAGGAATTTTAGAAAATAAATTAACAAATATACAATTAGTTAGAATTAAAACTAAAAGTTTAATGGATGGGTTTAAAAGCTCATTGAACCCAACTAAAGGAATTTAATGAACTATGTATCAAGGTTATATAAAGTTATCTAAAGTAATTATCCAGAATGCATAGAGAAAAATGTAAAAGTAATTTTTTTTAAAAAAAATCTAGATTTAGTAATGATCTGACATGCTTGTAATTTATGTATAGCTGATCATGTTTGAAAAGCAAATATAAATTATTGTTATGTAATCATAATACTGTAGTATCAGCATGATACAGATGTAAGATTTAAAAGATCATGACAATTCTAGAATTGATGGATTCGATTATAATTAAAAATAAATGAAATGAAAAATGTTATAACAAAAAAGAGGTCACTATGATGCTGTAAATTAAGCTTTTAAATCCTTAACAACAAATACAATATTGATGTTCTTAAGTGTCTTCTGTTCTATACTGACAGATGGCATCAAACTAAAGCCTGTTTGAAATTCTGCATGTAAGATTATTAAGCAATGGTTATTTGTGTATTTTCCATCTAGCTAACTTTACCAAATTCTGCTAATTTCAATCAATATTTAATGGAATGCTTTTTATTTCATTTGATATTGAGAGCAAATAAAACTATTTAGTATTCTTTCCAGTAGTTGCTTTTATCCTATGTCAACTACAGTCAAAAACAATTTTCGAAAAAAAAAAAAAATTCCACATTAGAAACATTAAGAGTCCTCTTTTTCCTCCTCCTTGTAGAATTGGCTTTAATAGTTCATAATTTATGTTTTTCTATATATGTGTAGTATTTTATTTTGTTGATGTAGTTTTCCTTCCAACTCCATTAAACCTTTTGTTAGGAATAATTTATGCCATCATTTTTTGGCATCTGATGAAATCATGTTTTTCCTCCCCCAAACATTACAGGTAGATTTCCCAGTGTTGATCCCTACTTGCATTTGTAGGCCAAGTCTTATTTGTTCATGTTGTATTGTCTTAAATATGGGCAGGATAAATTCTGTTAACACTTGACATGAACTTGTGGGGTTCTCCTTCTATTAGCATGTTGCTATGTAACAAATCATCCCAAAATTGAGCAGCTTAAATCAATGAACATTTAACATTTACTATCTCTTAGTTTCTGTGGGTCAAAAACTGAATACCTAGTTATGGCTCACATTCTGATCTGAGCTTAAAGTCTACATATAAGCTTAGGACAGTGGTCATTCAAAGCCTTGATGACATGCCAGAATGTTGGGCAAGTTTCAGATGGTTGTTACTCAAAAGCTCCGTTCTTTGCCACACAACCTCTCCAGAAGACTTAGTACGTATGCCTATCTTTAAAACATGGCAGCTGTTATCCCTCAAAAATAGAAAAATAATCAATTAGTCTTTTGTAACCAAGTTTCAAAAGTCGCACACTATGATTCTGCAACATTCTATTCATTGTAAGCAAGTCACAAAAACTAATGCTTACTCAGAAGGGAAATTATGTTCCACTTTTTAAAGGTAAGAGTAGAAAAAGATCTGGTTGACATATTTTAAAACCACATCATCATTTTATGGTTGAAGTACTGAAATATAAAAGTATTTGTGCTTTAATGACCAGATAGAAATTAGCTGTAATGTCACCTGGACCTGATATCTTTATCAGGTCTTTATTACCTTTTAAGAATTACTACTTAGGCTGCTGTTAACCACCATCCACAAAGGCCAATAAGATCCCCAGATGTTTTTCCTGATGGGGCATTTCCCTGAGACTGTAGATGATAAAATGCCTTTGTATTTACTATAAATATTAGCCCAGCATGTTGCAGGAACTTTAAAAAAAAAGTATTAAATATATTTTGAATTAATCCACCTGCAAAATCCCAAACTTCAATCTGTAAATCAAATATCTGGTGTGTGATTTTTTTGGAATGATCAACAAATAGGTTTGAACTTTTTAAAGAAGAAAAACTATTGAAAAAAAAAAAAACTCAGTACTTTGGAATATGAAAATAACAGGAAATAGTCTGATAAATTTAAAATTGGTCAAGAAATTAAAGCTAATTGTTTAATATATAGATTTTGGGGAATTTTTTAACAGATTTTAAGACTGATTTTTTTTCTTTTTTTTGTGGGGACTACTAGAGATTGAATTCAGGGGCACTCAACCACTGTGCCACATCCCCAGCCCTATGTTGTATTTTATTTACAGACAGGGTCTCACTGAGTTGCTTAGCACCTTTCCATTGCTGAGGCGGACTTTGAACTCACAATCCTCCTGTCTCAGCCTCCAGAGCCACGCCAGACAAACACTGATATTTTTTTTTTTTAAGTTCAATATATAAGTACAGATTAAGAGTTTGAGAAAGGCAAAAGGAAGGGAAAAAAGCAAAATAGATCTTAGTCATAAAGAATTATAAAGATTCTTGATGTGTGTCCAAATTTCCTGGCAAACTGTAGTATAACGGTTTTTCACAGAGTGTTTACTTATAAAATCAGTTTACTTGAGAGACTCATTGAAATGTCTTTGGGCACAACACCAGCCTTAGCACAGGAGATAGAGATAAGGTGGTCTTTGACTTCCAAAGTCTTCAAAAAGACTTACAGATCACTACTTTCATCTTATTTGTCCTAAAAAAAAAAAAAAAAAATTATATTTGGAAATCTAGAGGAAGTGAATGAATTTGGGCTCCCACTAGGATTGCCAAACTCATTAAAGTATTCATCTCAACTTTTGACAAAATCTAGCACTATTAACATCCTTATGCCACACTGCAAAGTTAAAAACAATCCAAACTAACCCTTATATCTAACACCAAATCCAATGCTCAGGGGTGTCTAAATCCATCCTTAGATTTGAAAAATCATTAGAGGACTCAGTATAAGCTATTATACTCAATATTGCATATATTACAGCAAAAGGACAGAGACTAAAATCAGAAAAGCAACAAAGAGCAAAATGTAAGATGTTCCAAATGCATTACCAACACAAGGACTAACAACTAGGAAAACCTAGTTTAAGCCTTGGTTTAACATATGGCCTTGATCACATCAACATGACTAATACCCTGACTGACCTTTAGTCTCCATTCCTCATAATTACTTTCTGCCACGTTTCTTTTTCTCCAAGGCAGATGTACCAAGGTCCAAAGACTCAACCCTAAATAAGATCTCTGATCTGGACAAGTAAGGCCCAAAGCCTCAACCCTAAATAAGATCTTTGAACTACATGGTCTAGCTGAGGGCCCCTGGCAATATAAATACTTTTAGCTAATAGGCCTGACATTCCTAGAGATCACCTAGTAGCCTAGGACAAAGGCCACACTACTCTTCTGGTGGTGTTATTTCCTTACTACACATTACTACCCTTTTCTTTACAGAAGCAACAGTAACTTGAGTTATGAGAAAAATTATGCTTTTAAAGCAAACATTTTAATTAGATATCTATAATTAACCATAACTTGAGTTCCACAAGTATTTAATTTTTCTGATTATTTTGTAACATTGTTTTACATATTTAAATCAATTGTAGACCCAGAAATTATAAGATTTCTCAGTGAAGAATGTTTTGTACTTCACTCAGGTGAACACCCTTAGCAGTATCCTGCTTGATTTATACCCCCCAACTCCCCCTATTGATGCTTGCTAAAGAAATGAAAATTCAGAAATAGAGATCAACTTTGGGTAAAGCTTGGAGTTCTTGAACTTCATTCTGGTAGCATGAGCATTCGCTACTAAATAGAAAAAGGAAAAGGAAAACAACTTTTTTTTTTCACCTGAGCTTGAGTAGTTTTTTCTCCCATGAACCATGAAATTTGCTACATGGATAGGGAATAAAAATTGTAGAAAAAGAGAGACTGTTTCAGAATTTGTTTAAAAGTTTTGACAATGTTTAGGTATAATTTATAAATATCAAACAGTATTTTATAAATATCCAGCCCACTATTTTTCAGGAAAGAAGGAATATGGGGAGAAAAAGAAACATGGCAGAAATTAAGACTCAGAATAAAGAATGGAAAAAGCAAACAAACCATAAAAGGGTGGGAAAGAGATAAGAAATCCAAAGAAAAGCCTAAGGCAGAATGTGGAAGGAGAAAGGCAGAGAGAAAAAAGTGAGCTGTGTTGGTAAATCTTGTTGTATAGTTGGTGTCTCTTCTGGGAATAATACCTATCATGTAAGAACTGAACTACTCCCCACATTTCTTGGATTTAGGGTTGAGAGAATTCATTAAAATGGCACCACATCTGGGAGGCTTTCTCTAACCATCAGATGTAAACTGGCACCTTTATATCTCCATCCTTAACCTTCCCTATTCATTATTTCTCTATTTTCCCTATTCATTATAGTTAGCTAACACAAATTTATTATTTTTTGTTTGCCTCACACTTCTCAAGATTGCAAGATCCATAAGGGTAGAAACTTCATCATGTTTAAGGTTCATACAACAGACTCTCAAAAAGTATCTCCAAGTTGACATAATAAATTGTGATTGAAGTGTACATAGGTATGTAACAACAGGAATAGAGGATAAAGTTGAATTGTCACAGTGATTCAATTGAATGAGTGACACATAAAGGGTCTCACTTTTCTGATGTCTACAAAAAAGATAAGTATAGACCACTTCTAAGAGTTATCTTAAGGATGAATTGAGATAAAATAATAAGGTTTTAAAAACAGTGGTGGGCATTTAGGAAGCCCTTTGCAATTGTTAGCAATTATTTTACTTTTCTTAGTTCAAATGAAAATCAAAGTGGCCAAATCATTTCGGAAACTGAAGGTAGGAATTATGAGCTCTTGAACTATTAGATTCCTAACCAAGAAGAGTGGTTGAGGGATTTTAAGCTAAAACCCTATTATTCAGGGATTTCTCTTGACAAAACATGACTTGAGCTATTATTTGTTGATGCTAATAATTATTAAGCAGGTAACTTTGGAATAGGAATTCCTGATAGAACATTATACGAGCACATGTTAAAAAAAAAAACTTTAAATAGCAAATATTAATGCTGATGGCAAAATGACAACTAACAAATACAACCTTTTATTTCTTCAGTCAGGGGAGACATAAGAATGCACAGAAGAAACGAATGCATAAAGTAACCGAAAACATGAATCTGTCCATAGAAGATATGAAGTATGAAAAGTTTGATCTGATTGAGAATAACTGACTTCTGTGTATACTCCACCCAGATCCAACCCATCCTGGTTTAGCACTCAATAAATCATCAAAAGGAGATCATTTCCTAAGCGGAAGAGACTAACCAAGACGTTTTAGATTCTCATTTTACTTTTTCGTTTGATTTCTAAAAACAATTTACTTCTGTTACACACTCAGTTATTAGTAATTCACCATCATGGACTATATTTGCTGGAAGTCAGAGGATGACAGATAGTCTGTAAAACAAACAAGAAAACCTGTACAGAATAGGAATTCTGCATTTGCTCATTCAAATATTTCTCCAAAAATCTCCTTTCTACACATCTATCTAGCTATCATCCATCTTCCAGCACCAAGATAGTAGTAGGCCTTAGGCACTGTTTTGGCTTTGGTGATGACTCTGAAGGTAAACAGCTCAGTTTCCCTAAGCTGCCACTAGAGAGCTCACATCTGTATCTGATAGGAACAATACTTTAAAGCAGTGTAAAACGTGAATGTTTACCAAAATAACCTGAAAAATCTAAAAACACACTGCGGGGCGCCACCACGCTCCTAATTGTCAGTTCTGAAGTTACACTTGAAAGTACTTCTAAATTATCCAGGTGACACTGCTGCTGCTAGTCCGGGGACCACACATGGATAACTTTGTTTTAAAGGTCACGGAACTACCCTGAACCGCTACCACCAAACAGTCCTACAAACTCCCAAATTCTCAGTTTTGAACTAGCGAGGAGAGATCCGGAAAAACCCAAGAGGCTGTCCTCTGGCCGCAGCCATGCAGTGGGCAGCAAAACGCAGGCCCGCCTCTCCTTCCAAGCTGGATCAGTCCTATCCTACAGCCGGCTCACCACGGCCCCCACGCGGGTTCGCCACACCCCCCCACGCCGGTTCCGTTTTACGGCCGGCTAGCCACGCCCCCCACGCCGGTTCCGTCTTACGGCCGGCTCGCCACGCCCCCCACGCCGGTTCCGTTTTACGGCCGGCTCGCCACGCCCCTCACGTCCCGACGACAGATCGCCGTTACGCTCGCGCGTCATCACGCAGCCTCGTTGCCCTTGCTCCCTCTCGCTTTAGTCTACTGGTTGTGGGCAGAGGCTCCGGTCTTCAGCTAAGTTTCCAGCGAGTCTGGACCCTCCGTCGTCGGGATTGGCAGATAAAACCTCACGGAGACGTCTGAAGATCGAGGAGTATGGCTAAGCCGCTCCTCTCCGCGGCTGAGACTGCGAGGACCCCTTGCCGGCCGCAGCCCCCTGCGGGTTTCCCCCGGTGAATAGCCGTGCGCTTCTGACACTTAGGACATCGCTAAGCAAAGCGGACACAGTGCCTGGGGCCCACAGTACTTTTAGGAGCTCACGAAAACATTGATTTCTTTTAAAATCAGAACAACAGTAACATCTTAGGTAGAAGAAAACATTCGAATATATAACATTCAAATATAATCCTCTTTTTAGATAAAATTGTTATTTTAATAGAAGGGGCCCAGGAAGGCGAAAGTGCCCAGGGCCCGAGAATATAATGCAGCTGCGGATGTACAGAGCAGACAACTCTTCCAAATTGCTTTTGTTTGTATACTTTTTTAAACTAACACTTAGACACAGTTCAGTTGCTTTCCATGTGTTTCTCACAACACACATGTGCACTGCTATCCCAGTTTTACTCACGAGTATACCAAGTGAAGCTTAAAATAACTTGCCAATGTCCTACAGTTAAATGACAGGACAATCTGACCCAGTCAGGTTGTCACCAGAGGTGTCAATTTTTGACCATTGAAAACAGGCATTATCTCATATCTACAGTATTAATTTATCAACAGGAAAAAAAAAAAAAACTACTCGCAAGACACTGAGATTTCCAGTTTTCTCTCTGCCTCTCCTTCCCTCAGTAGTAGTGTGGCACAGGTGTTCCTTTCTCCATATAACAGGTACACACACACCACTCGTCTATCCCTTCATCTTAAGGAATGCTTGTCTTCTAGCTCATCGGCACACCATATACGTGAAAGAAACCCTCCTTTTCCACACTGACGGTACTCACCTACTTGAGGAATCAACCAGATAACCTTAGTTGCTAACTGTGTAACTTAAGCTTAGGATATTTTAACATTCATACCCCTAGCATATTTCCAAATATGCAGAAACCAAGACTCAACTATGTATACACAATTAGAAAATGTCAGTAAAAAGGCTTCCAGAAAACAAACAAACAAAAAAGAAATGCCTGACTGTTCTTTCTATATCTGGACCAAGGCCATATGGTTTAATTACCATAAGTATATATGTGTTCACATGAACTAAGAACTGCCACTCTTTCTTCCTTTTTTGCCAAATGCTTTATCAAATATCCCATAGAGTATTTTGACATAACACGCAATGTTTAGATTATTTTAGAGTGTATGAACATGTTAGCAGTTGATTTCTCACAAAACATAAACATAGTTAAGTATATCTGTTCCTTTAAGTAGATTCCTTGGGACCCTTCAGTAAACTTTAATTTACATATGTCTGAAATATTTATTATTTTATTTTGAATCTTTAGCACTGTTTTGAATGATGTCTGACTTTTCTATTTTAATTACAGATAGGTTATCGCTAATGTGTAGAAAGACTATATAAGTTTTTAAATGCTACTCTCATACCCATCAACCCTGTTGTTTTTATTAGCTTTAATTCTTCATAGATTCTTATGGACTCTTTCATTGTCAATTACATTATTTTCAGAAACAAAGATAATTGTCTTATTGAATTCTTTCTGTTTGTTCTTTTTCCTGCCCTATGTCATATTGGCCATACTCCACAGTGTTATGTTCAGTAGGAGTAGTGCCACAGTCCTCTTGCTCTTGGCACTTTAAAAATACTCCCAAACTTACACCAGTAAGTATTATGGTCACTTGGGATTACAAGCATGCGCTGCCATCTACTCTTTATGAAGTCATTCCAGGCTGTTGAAAATGTTCATGATGAATAAATGTCATATTTTAGCAAATCCTTCCTCAGCATGTATGGAGCTGACCATAGTTTTTCCTCTATTCTCCTACATGAGCAGATTTATAATGCTAAACTTTATTTTATTCTTGAAATAAAACCAATATTTTGTGCTATTTTTTAAAAGGAATATGGGCTATTGTTTTCCATTTTCTGTGTTTTAAATAGTTCTTTTTTTAAGAGAGAGACAATTTTTCAATATTTATTTTTTAGTTTTCAGGGGACACAACATCTTTATTTTTTTACTTTTTTTTAAATATGGTGCTGAAGATCGAACCTTGCATTCGAAAGCATTACCATTTGAGCCACATCCCCAACCCTTAAATAGTTCTTTTTTTTAGATAAATACATGAGAAGGAGACTAGAATTTTGTTTCTTGTCATTTTGTTTCCTTCATATTTTCTTTCTTTAGTTTCTCCCATTCCCTTTCCTTTTTCCTTTTTTTCTTTACTTTTTTTATTGTTTTATATTGTTCTTCAATTTGTATAATAAGGTTGTAGAATTTCAAAAGGAAAAATTAGTGGAGAACTATTTTTTACATTGAAACAGGATCTGTAAATTAGAGGTCATGAAGTCCTTAAAATTCACCAAAACATAAAATCCAACTGGTCTTGCAATCATTTGGGTTGAAAAGCTCAAGAGAAAAATTTTTTTTAACTGCTTATTTCTATTTCCTTATTAATAATTTGTTTATTCTTTGTGTATTACTAAATAACTACCTTTTTCTCTCAAATATTATCATGTTCTGTTTTATTTTTTTGTAAAGTTAGCTAAAGCGATTTTTTTCTTTCTTTCTTTCTTTTTTTTTTGTGTGTGTGTTTTTGTGTTTCTTTTGGTTGTTTCTTTCCCTTATTATTACATTTTTTCTTATTCTCATCCCTTATGCACACACAAAATTTTTTTCCAAAGAAAACCTATTGTATTATGGATCATTTCTACTATTTTCTATTTAATTCATTTTGTACTTTTAAAATTTCTTGCTACTTTATTTCATTTTACTCTGGTTCCTTTTGTAGCTTCTTCTTTGTGTATCCTAGGCATTTCTTGTTCCTTAAGGCATGTTTTTATTGTTAACATATTTAACATTAATATATATTTAATGCTATATCTTTTTCCTTAGTGCCACTTCAGGTACATCTTGCAATCCCCATGTGTATCATTGATTCATGTTTATTTTCTTGTGATTTCCAATTCTCCATGTTATATAGTACTGTGATTTTTACTTCCAAGTATATAGGAAGATTAATATTTTTCCTATCTTTACAAAAAAAATGAAAACAACTTTCCATTTCTCTTTATGTAGATTATAATAAAAGAATACAAGTATATGAAATTTATTCTTTTGCGTATATTATCACATTTTCTGAAGCTAGGATTGAATTTTTCACATGGTTCAGCGTGTGCTTTGGGGGGGGGCGACATTGGATGTTCTGTGAGAACAAGAATCATAGATTGAGTTGGTTTATTATGTTGTTCACATCTATAACCATAAGCATTCTTTCTTGCTTGGTATATAAGTATCTAAGAGTATTGTGTATTAAAAGGTTATCCTACAACTGTAAATTGAACAGTCTCCTAATTCTGCCAGTTTGTTGGCTTAGATAGTAGTTTTGTTGTCAGGAACATCTAAGGTCATAAATGTTACATCTTATTGGTGGATATTTATTTTATCCTTATGAGACATAGCTGTGTGACCTAAAGATCTCTAAAGCCACCTTTGTATTGAATATACTGCAATCTGACTAACTAGAAATCCTAGTTGTGGAGAGATGGAATGTTGCAGATCAAGAGCCAAAATCCTGAGCTATCATTAGTCCCTTGTAATAGCCATTTACCACCAACCTTTGTATCAGACCTGATATTGGCTACTAGGCAAAACTCTGGGAATGTAGTTCAAAGCTTAGCAGACTTCTAGCTTCTATTAACTGGAAAGCTAAAAATGCTATACCATCTGAAACCTATAAAAGAAGTTTCCCCACTCTGCTACAGCCTGCCTACCTGATACCCTCACCAATATGTGTGGTGAATGCATTGATTTATGTCTTTGCATTGATTTATGTCTTTCCTTTGTCCTGTGACTTTATAAAAGTTCATGTAACCTCTTCCGTGGTGAAGCATGTTATTCAAGGTGACCTTAATCCATGTACCTAGACCTTGGCCAATCATATTTGGCTCAGAATAAAGAATCTCTTCTTTCCTTTGGAGGAGAAACTGTTGTTTGTGTCAACAGTTGTTTGTTTTCTGGAAGTTCTATTGTGCTCATTTTCAAATCTGCCTGGAATTAATTGTTCTTGTTCCTTGATTGAATATTTCAGTTTTTATCTCTTTAAACATTTAGTAAAGAGATATTTTGTGGTCTCTGTCTGATAGTTCTTGTTTGCTGGAAGCCTGATTCTCCATACTGGTTAGTATCTCTATAATTTGGTGACATTTATTATGAACTTATATTTGAATGTTCAAAGTTCCTGACAGTGTTCTAGTACGTAATAGTTGCTTAGTAAATAACCACTTAATAAACAAACAGCCTGTATAAACCTAGAGAACTTGGGTTCCAGGTGGTTCACACCCGAGGGATAATGGTTTAAAGGTAAACCACTGAATGGATTGCTTCTGAAGCGGGTAGTTTCTTTGGAAAATCAATAGAGGGCACTGTGTACCTGCCTCACCTTAATTCCAGGTCACTTTTAATGAGATACCCAGACCAAGTAAATTTCCTCTGCTCTCCTCTGTAGAGCCTTATAAAGACAACTTTTGTTCCTAGGAACTTTTGCTTGTTTTTTTCCCCCTCCAACTTATGCTTTCCCAGAGTGTTGGCTTAATGCTAAGTATCTTAGTTCTATTTAAAAGCCTAGAATTGTCTTCCCCAAGGCGCAGACATTAGTTCTCAGAACTCAGAATCTTCTGATAATGATATTTAACCTAGAAAACTCTAACTGGTTTGTTTATCTCCCTAGCTTCAGATTCTAGGGGGTTTTTGTTGTTGTTGTTGTTGTTTGTTCTGGTCAGTTCCAGCGAGTTTTCCTTGGTTTCTGCTTGTTTTGTTCTATTCCTTAGGAAGGCAAAGATGTGTCCATGTTTGTTGCAGCTTTTCTAGTCTTTGGATGGACTTTGAAGAATACCTTCTTTTCCACATTGCCAACAGGCATCTTTACTGTGTCCCTTTGTATCCCTAGTAATACTTTCAGCTTTAAATTGTTTTGTCTGCTATTAATACTACTATACTTGCATTCTCTTGCTAAATGTTTTCCAGGCATATTTTTCCTTCATCTTTATGTTTTGTTTTAGCAGACTTATTTTTGAGGGGGTGGGGGGACTAGGGCTGAACCCAGGGCTTTAACAAACACTAAGCCACTTCCCAGCCCTTTTTTATCTTCATTATCCCAGCCCTTTTTTATCATTATTATTTTGAGACAGGGTCTCACTAAGATGCTGAGGCTGGCTTTGAACTTACAATTCTCCTGCCCCAATCTCCCCAGCCACTGGAACCTCCCTGTGTCACTGCTCCTGGCTTTATTATTTTTTAAATTATGCATTATTTGTTTTCAGACTAATATGTTTGTTAAAATATAATTCCAATAATTCTTTTCTGAAACAAGAGAAGCCCATAAGGAATATTTTATTATATGCATTTAATGGCTTTATTTAAAAATAGAAATGTCATAAGAAGACCCAAGTATTATTCATAATCCAGAACAGATATGGTTTTCTGAGAAAAGCAAAAGAAAACTTATAAAACTTCCTTTCGTGATTTCACAATCCTCAAAATGCCTTACAATAATACATTTAATGAAATACATACCATTATTTTAGGATTCTCTTATATGTAAACCTGAATTTTAAAATATCAGTTTTTTTAACACCTCTTTATTTAATTAATTAAAATTTTAATGTATTATATGTGGTGAAGATCGAAACCAGGGCTTTGCACATGCTGGGGAAGCACTCTACCACTGAACTACAACTCCAGCCAAAATATCAGTTTTTTGATCTGGAGAGAATTTTTTTTGGAAAAAACTGTCAGAGAAATCTACTTATTTATAAACATTCTAGCCAATTTGTTTTTAAGCTGGTAATCTTTTGATCTAGATAATACCCTTTAGCCCATTATCTAGTGGTAACTGCCTCAGAAGAGTTTAGAACAGTCTGAATTCAGGAGCTTTATTTGGACAATCTTCTTAGTATGCAATATATATGCTACAAGTAGCTGATAAATTTCAGTACTTCTAGATCACATTAAAATAAGACAAATGTGTTCAGCACTTCTCTCTCCTCCTTCCCTCCCTTCCTTCTATGTAACTATCAGACCCAGCAAGATTTAAATGAGATTTTCCTGATTGCAACTGATGATATTGACCACAATCTGAGGCCTGTGATCCTGGAAGACTGCAGTGATTAAAGAAATCCTCCCACCATTTTTGGTTCTGAAAATAGCTTCCTTCAAGGAATTAACCTTCACCATAAAACTGAGTTAATTCCCTTCTTCAATGAAAATTTCTCTGGCATTGGAAAATGTGTAC